TTGTTGCTGCTGCTGTTTCTTTCGTTGCTGCTTCTACTGCTGCTGCTGCTGCTTCTTTTGTTGCTGCTTCTACTGTTGCTGCTGCTGCTGCTGCTGCTGCTGTTTAGGTGTCTGCTGCTGCTGGTGGATGAGCTGCTGCCTACCCTGAAGACAGCAGCAGCTGCTGCTGCAGCAGCAGGCCGCAGCCGTGCTGCTCTTGCTGTTAGCATTATAAGACAAGCAGCAGCAAACTGTCGTGCTGCTGCAGCACCAATCCGAGCGCAGCAGCAGCTGCTGCAGCAGCTGAATACACCAGGATTGAAGGTGCTAGACACCATTGCGTTGCTGCAGGTAAAGTAGCTGCTGCTGCTGTTGCTGCTGCTGCTGCTGCTGCTGCTGCTGCTGTTGCTGGTGTTATCTTCACGCTGCTGCTGCTGCTGCTGCTGCTGCTGTTGATGCTGCTGCTCTCGGTGGTATATATTTTGCTGCTTTTCTAACCGATGCTGAGCATATTGCTGCTGCTGCTGCTGCTGCTGCTGTTGCTGCTGCTGCTGCTGCTGCTGCTGTACAGGCAGCAACTGCATGCACTCCGTCGATGCACCAGGAGGCTGTGGTGTCTGCTGAGGAGCTGCAGCAGCTGCAGCAGCAGGTGAGCAGCAGCAGCAAAGTGCATGCGCTGCTGACAGCAGATGCAAGCGATGAGGTTAAGGCTGCTTGCTGCAGTCTCCTGGGTCAGGTGCTGCCTCTGCTGCTGCGTCGCAGCAGCAGCAGCAGCAGCAGCAGCNGCAGCAGCAGCAGCAGCAGCAGCAGCTCATCGGAGCAGCAGAAAGAGCTGCAGCAGCTGCTGCAGCAAAGCCTGAAACTTCTCGGTTGCTGCTGCGATGTTGTAAGCAAGAAGGGGACTGTCTCCTTAGAGCAGCAGCAGCTGCTAGCAGCAGCAGAAGATGCGCTGGAGAGGATAGCTGCTGCTGCTGTTGCTGCAGCAGGGCCAGCAGCAGCAGAAGCAGAGAAAGGACTGCAGCAACTGCAGCAGCAGCAGCTGCTGCCGCTGCTCACTGCATGCAGCACTCGTGCTGCACTCCGTGCTGCTTCTCTGAGGGCCTGGTCGCTGCTGCTGCTGCTGGAGCAGCTGCCGTCAGCAGCAGCAGCAGCTGCAGCAGCAACAGCAGCAGCAGCAGGAAAGCAGCAGCAGGACAGCAGCAAAAGTGCAGCAGCTCTTGCTGCAGCTGCAGCACTTTGGGTTGAGGGCTCTTCCTGCTTCTCCATAGTCAGACAGAAAGTGAGCATAGACACAGCAGCAG